ATCTCTAGAGGCTAACATAGTTTGAAACTTAGGCCTCGTTTGGGAACAGGCTAATTTAGTAATTTTTTGGCTATTTGGCTAAAAAAGTAGGTAAAAAAAACTTGTATGTTTGGGATATTTTTTGGCTAATTACGAAAAGATGTGCAAAAAGTAGAGAGAAAAGAGAATCTTTGACTTTTTTGTATGGATTGTTGACTTTTTGACTAATTTAATAACTTTTTGACTAATTGACTAAAATAACCTCTTGCCAAACGAGGTAAACCACCAAAATAAGACTAACATACATAGACTCCGAAGTACGTTAAAAGGTCTTTTGCGTAATAAACCTCACATACCAACTTTTGCTTGCAAGTTATTGTTAAAGAGGAAGTACAGTAAAAAGCATTTTTGCTTGCTGTGGCTTGTGTCTAGTCTGTAATAGGAATTAGACCGTATTTTTAGGTCTCATGGGTTTATCACAGAACTTATATCGATAATTTGAATCATTAAATATATAGGACTCATCGAGTATTTCATCTTTGCAAAACATTATGTTGATCGGATATTAATAGATTAGATTGTTTTTTTTATATACATTTTTTATATAAAAAAATATGTAAAAAAATAAAGAAAATAATTGACAATTTATAATAATTTTTTGACTAAAAATCTCTCTTCCCAAACATGGCCTAAGATTGTTTGAGCTTGATTTTAAATTTAATAAATTTTAAAGTGTGTCTAAACGTTAATTATTTACTTTTCTAATATACCAACTTTAACCAAGTTGAGCTTAAGTATTTTCAATTTTAATATATATGAGTCGAGCTTACTAATAAATTGTGTAAGCTTGATTTTAAAATGTATTTAATTTTGACATATTTATATAACAAGTCAAATTTAAATGAGTTTTTAACCAGTTGAATGTGAGTCGTAGTTGTACAATTTGATTAGTTTTATAATCCTTATTAGAGTTGTCTTTATTACTCAAGAATGAGTGACGGCACCATGAAAGGAGGGACAAAGACGAACAAGAAACCAGAGTAGATGGGGACCTATACATAGAGGAATTGTGATTGTGGTTGCATAAGAGGGAAAAGAGAGAATAAGATGATGGGATTGTCAACAACATGGGGAGAGAGAGAAGACAATCATAGATTTTGATGTTCTATTTTTTTTCTCGGTCACTCATCATCGTTGAAGCACACTAGTGCCAACATTTGTAAGGGTAAAATGGTCGACAACTTTAACGCATGCATAAATTAGCGGTGGTTCTAAATGCACCCCATCTTTTTGGTTGGACACCTCAACTTCAATTTTTTTTTTAATACCATTTTATTTCTCAATTAAATTATTAAAATATTCAAATCTTAACTCTAACTCCGGCATCCCTTCTTCAACTCCGGTAACCCTCCCAGCGTTGGCAAGCATTTCCCAATGCTCTTCTCGTCGTCGTCATCGATAAGAGTTCTAGTGACAAGTGAGTAAGGTTGGAATTAAATGAGGTGTTCAACAAAAGAAGAAAAAAATTGCAAATTTCACTTGAGGTGTACAAAGGAATGAGATATCCAACCAAATTATTCAGGTACATTTAGCGCTATCCCAAATTAGGTCCTTTCATTTTAGATTTCAAAAAACATTGAACTAAAAACCTTAGACATTAAAATCAATTGTAACATCCTTCTCCAAAGATAATTTTTTTTAGGGATACCAAATTTCTAAAAAACAACCGAACAATATGAGCAACAGAATCTTTTTAATTGTGGGCTTAGAATTAATGTGTATCACTAAAGTTATTTTGTAATTTATTATAGATCCTTCAATTTACACCATGCTTATTTGAAAAAATTAGAAAGAGATTAGACTAATAAACATGTGGAGCCCAACATTTATTCTTGTTTAACCAGTGCTACATACTAGTGGGTAACCCATGAAAAATTATTTGTTGGTCTAAGTATCACATGGCCATATTTTTGGTTAATTATAAATTATCATATGTTCTTATATTTTTTAATCACTCAATATAAAATTATAAATCTCACTCCTATCAATCACAACACAATTTAAAAATCACATAGCCATACCCAGTACCACCAAATAATTTCTTGTAAGCCATGCAATATGGGCTAGACATATTCAATCCATTGATTAAATCACTCTCAACCATCGGCTTATAATCTCATTCAATAGAGGTACTTTGACTCTAATTTTGGACTAATTCAAAAAAATAAAATAAAAAATGATATGGAAGTCCTAATCCCTGAATGGGGACAAAATAACATGAACATTTTCAAAATCCGTAGACTAGAAAATCCTACATTTGATTGTTTTCTTGATTTTCCACTCACCATACATTTTTATATGTTTTGAATGAACTAATTTATATATATAAAAATGAAGAATATCATGACTTAAATCTTAAGTATAGAATTGTGAGCTATCCACAAATATTTTATCACAATAATTGAAAAAGGGTTATCAATAGTCAATGTTGTAGAATAACATGAACTAGCTTATTCCTAATTTTGCGTTATCAAAGTCAATTTTGTACTACGAACAATGCTCGGCACTCTGTCAAGTGAACCATCATCCTCTACGAGGCCAGGGGTCATTCCCTTCACTTGTATTAATCAGAATTTTAGTCCATTACAAATTTAAGAAAGAGTTGTTAAATTGGCCTATTTCTTATAAGAAATCGGAGGAAGACACAACATTTTTTCCAGGAAATTCCCAACAACAAATACACACTAATGCTTCTTACATGCACATGATCATGAAGTCCCAGTTTCTCAGATTGATAGTGATGAATAAATTACCTAGGTAGTTCTTGTAATTTGATTTTTATGTTTGTTTAATTCTTTAAATTTTAATAGTATTAACTTCTTCTTCTTCTTCTTCTTTTTTTAATATATATATATATATATATATTTTTACATTTTCAATTTGATCTAATCGAAGTGGGTTTGGCTTGCCGATTTCCAAACAAGCCAGAAGAGAGTAGAAACAGGGATGGTGGTGGTGAAGATATGCAGGCTGCCATCTCTGTTCTTATGATGAGTTAAGAGAGAGATAGAGAGAGGGAGAGCGCTAAATGGCTTTGCCATAACAGTGTGGAATCAAGATCTCGTTCTTGCATTTCCTACTTACAAGCTCATTGGGCCACTTTTAAATTCAATTTTGATAATTCCCGTTCATATTTTAAGATTTGTTCAATATATTATATTTGTAAAAAATTAAGTTGATTGAATATCAGAAAACATGTGTTCGAAAAACTGTTTATTAAATAATTTTTAATTCGAGTTTTCCGAACACATACTTTCTGATATTCGATCAATTTAATTTTTTACAGATATAATATATTAAATAAATTTTAAAATATTAACGGTTCAGATTATCAAAATTAGACCTAAAAATAGGCCCAATAGGCTTGTAAGTAAGAAATATATGGAGGAAATACAAAAAGAGAATACAAGGAGAGAATCCTAATACGCCAGTGTAGCGTGATACAACTCATAGGATTTTTTTTTTCCTCCTAAACTTTTTATGCACTAATAAATTGTTTGGGAACGATAGATATTTTTGGTGAAACACCCTATCTAATTTTGGATGGCAGGAGAGATATAATATATATATTTTTATTAATTAAAGTCACTTGATGACATTTTTCTATGATTATATCAAAAAAAAAAAGAAAATTTTATAATCATATTAAAAAAAATTTTAAATTTTTCTATGAAATAGAGAAATTTTTCTATGAAAATTAAAATTTTTACTATCGGATGAAATTTTTCTATGTTGATTTTTTTCTTTGAAAATGTTGAGGAATCCCAATTACTATGAAAATATTGTATGTCATTTATTTTATAAAATCTTAATATCAAGGATTTAAAAAAAAAAAATTCTATTTTTTAAACTTTTTATGAAAAGACATGTAAAAAAAGTAAAAAAAAACAATTGACAATTTATAGTAATTTTTTTGGACTAAAAATCTCTTTTCCCATACAAAGCCTAAGATTGTTTAAGCTTGATTTTAAATTTAATAATTTTTAAAAGTGTGTTTAAATATTGCTTATTTACATTTTATACCAACTTTAGTCAAGTTGTTGAATTTTACTGGTGTATATAATTGAGTTGAATGGACTAATAATTGTTTAAACTTGATTTTAAAATGTATTTAATTTTGAAATATTTATATAATGAGTCAAATTTAAATAAGATTTTAATAAGTTGAATTCAAATCGTTTAGTTCTTTTAAAAACTGAAAAGTTACATTGTGAGTGTTTGGGAAGTGGATTTTTTTAATTGTAGAATATTATTGGAGAAAAAAAATTTTGTGTTTAAGAAGATAATTAATTTTTTTTGTAGTTAGATAGGATATTTGTGAGAAAAAAAGTGAAATGATTATGGAATTTGATGTGATATTTTGCTTAAATTTATTTTTTTTTATTTTGTAACTAATTTGTCTTTTAGCAAACAAAAATTAAAAAAAAAATCCTTCCCAAACACCCCATTATATAAACATCTGACAACCATATGAAGCTTTCAATTACTAGAAAACCGGAAAAAAATTAAAAATTAAAAAAACAGAAGAAAAGAGCAAACAGGTATCAAAGTATTTGATAGCATGGTAATATACATTTAGCCTAAGTTTGAGAAGCGATCGGTTTAGCTAAAAAGTAAAAAAATCAAAAAATCAATTATTCATATCAAAAAGTTAAAAATTCTATTTTCTTTCTATTATTTATATATTTTTTCGTAAAAAGTCAAAAAATCATCCCACTCATACTAATTTTTTTTAAATCATATTTTAACTAAAAAGTCAAAAAATTATTAAAAAAATCTGTTCCCAAAGGAGGCCTAGCCAACTTTTGAGCAAAAGCCCAAAGGAAGCCTAATTAAGCCTAAGAAGATAAGTCTTTAGATAGAATCTTTTTTGGGTACAAAACTGAGAACAAAGTTGTGAAGATTGTATTGTGTAATTTCCACTTCTAATAAAATTGCGTTCTCGTCTTTTTCAATGTCCGCCATTGTTGAAGCTTTCAAGTCACATTTCCAAACCAATAGCTTAACCTCCTCAAATTCTTTGATTATAGTAAAAACTGATTTAAAACTTAATCCTTTTACAGTGACAAAACTTTCTCCACTTTTCTAAAAAAAATAATTAAAAAAAATAAAAAGGTAGAGATCGATCACTCTAGCCTTAACAAGTTTGCATGCCAGCCCCTTTTTCCCTCACTGGGAAGAATTTGACAGAATTGGCCGAATTGCTGATTTAAAATCTTCATAAAATCTCTGTTCGGAAAACCTGCCAGCCCGTCTCCTTGCTGCAGCAGCCATCTTGAGCCTCTCAGTTTCAGGCATACTCAAAACTTTTAGGATGGCATCAGCATACTCTTCCACATTTTGAGCAAGAAATCCAGTTTGCTGTCCATCTTCTTCCAACACAATGTCCATCTTTGGGCCAGCAGAATTATGAGCTGAAAAGGTTGAAAATTATACATCCATGAAAATAATAATAATTCGTTGAGAAAGTAAATTGGTTAAAAGAAATTCCTTCAAATTGCCTACCAATTGGTATGGCACCTGCGGCCATGTACTCCACCACACATATGCCAAAGTGCTCATCTATCATGGAATGGATCCCTACAACAGCACTACCCAAAAGTCTCACCAATTCCCTGCAGTACAAAGAGAAAAATCAAGACTCAAATAGAACAATAAAAAAAAAGTAAATCTACCCATAGGAACAAGCAAGCAACTGTTCTTCTAAGCATATTCAAAAGAGTCATGGAAATTTAGGATAATCTGCAATGATATTTCTGGACTCTAGTTAACCGAATTTGCATAATTCTTTCTAGCCAGCAGCTCTACTCAACCAAATTTGGCAAATTCTATCAAGCCAAGCAATTCCCTGAAAAATTAGAAGATTAATCAAGATTTTTAAAAGGCAGTAAGGAATGATTTTAATGTCCTTGACCTACTGCTGTTCCGTAACTCTCTCAATGTCGTAGTCTACTTACTGACTGCCCTTTCAAAGATATGCAGATCCACCACAAGCCATTGCACTATATCAGCCAATCTTGATGGGTCTACCATTCCACATCAATCTAGTACAGAAATACATTCAGCAAATAACTCATTGAACTTTCCTAAAACCAATACAAGCAAGCTCAACCATTCATACTTCAGATAAAGATTCTGGTTGATAACGTCCGAGTCTCAGTATTAAGATCCATCACATAGGTTAAAACAGAACAAACCAACGTCATCCAAGTTTGTTTGCATTATTGGATTTTAAATGTACACAAAAATAACATTGCAGAAAACCACAATGATTAATTTTGACAAAAATTATTGTTGTGGATGTTTATGGCCTAGCAATAATGCAGAAAATCACAATGATTCTTCCTTTTTTCACATTGGAGGGAAGGGGAAATCAAACCCGTGACCTCCTAGTGAGGTACACAAGTTCAAGCCACTGGGCTAACACCAGTGGTTAGAAATCACAATGATTCATGATTTCATTGCAAGTGCACCAAATGTACTGCACAAGATGCATCTGATCATTGCTGCATGATAATTTTCAACGTGGTGATTTAAAAAGAAGAAAACGAAAAATCTTCAGAAAATATAAAGATAGAAAGGCCAACCAACAATCTCAATTAGTGCAGGAGATATCAGAAGATGTAGCATGAAATTTTCATGAGATTACAAAAAATAGAAAAAAAAAAAAACAATTTTGTACAATTCATTAGCGCATGTATTAAATGGCCATTGAAGTACAACAAGAACAAAGTGACATGTTACAAACCTGTACATCAGATTCTTGTAGAACTCCACGTCCTCTTCTACCTTCAGTTCAATAGCTAGGTTTTTCAAATTTTGCAATCTTTCCTCATCTGCCTTATTCCGACAACTACCCACAAATTGGAGCTTGGGTCTAGGCGTGTCTGCATCTAATTTTCTAATGGCAACTGAAAATGCCTCAAGTTGTAGTGTGTGTGCCTGATACAAAAGAATCAAGTTTAAAGTAACTTAGTAGGACTAAGAAAGGCCACCAAAAATGACCTCTGAAGAGTATAAAAATGCCTACCTTCTCTGGACGAAACTGAGCAACAGATATAATTGTTGGAGATTTCACAGGTCTTTCCAATGGAAGCGCCTGTTACAAGAGCAGCTGGTTAGAATCCACAGGACTTTACCACAATATATAAAAATGAATCGAAGAACTATATGTTGAAGGACATTAAAGTCAAATTAAAAAAAAAAACCATAGAAGAAAGGAGCGCAATATTTCGATGCATATGTTGGCATGCCTTGTAATTAATTTCGAACAGACAGATTTTCTTCTATTCAATGTTTGGCAGCATCAAAAGGGTGATTACACATGAACCATTCATATATTGGTATTAAGATGCACACCTGTCCATGTTGGGCACACACTCCTGAAGGTACTTCCTATTCATGATTCATTTACCTCTATTTTCATAGTATTTTCAGGTTATCAACGGTGTGTGTGTGTGAGAGAGAGAGAGAGAGAGAGAGAGAGAGATACATAGAGAAGATTTTAATGTTTTGAGAGAGACAGAGGTAATGGAGAAGTGGAGAGAGAGTGGGTGAGAGAATTGAGGAGAGTGGGAGACAAAGAGGTTGGTGAGACGTTAATGTCTCTGCACTTGGGAGAAGTGCAATTTATCTTGGAAATATTTTTTTAATAAAAAAATATTT